TATTCTGTGGATTTGGGGTGGAGAGTTCTGTAAATGTCTATTAGGTTTGCTTGTTCCAGGTCTGAGTTCAGGTCCTGGATATCTTTGTTAATTTTCTGTCTTATTGATCTGTCTAATATTGACAATGGGGTGTTAAAGTCTCCCACTATTATTGTGTGGGAGTCTAAGTCTCTTTGTAAGTCATTAAGAACTTGCTTTATGTATCTGGGTGCTCCTGTATTGGGTGCATATATGTTTAGGATCATTAGTTCTTCTTGTTGCATTGATCCTTTTACCATTATGTAATGTCCTTCTTTGTCTCTTTTGATCTTTGTTGCTTTAAAGTCTATTTTATCAGAGACAAGAATTGCAACTCCTGCTGTTTTTTTGCTCTCCATTTGCTTGGTAAATCTTCCTTCATCCCTTTATTTTGAGCCTTTGTGTATCCTTGCATGTGAGATGGGTTTCATGGATACAGCACACTGATGGGTTTTGGCTTTTTATCCAATTTGCCAGTCTGTGTCTTCTGAGTGGGGCATTTAGTCCGTTTACATTTAGGGTTAGTATTGTTATGTGTGATTTTGATACTGCCATTTTGATGCTAGCTGGCTGTTTTGCCCGTTAGTTGATGCAGATTCTTGATTGTGTTGATGCTCTTTACCATTTGGTATGTTTTTGGAGTGGCTGTTACTGGTTGTTCCTTTACATGTGTAGAGCCTCTTTCAGGAGCTGTTGTAAAGCAGGCTTGGTGGTGATGAAATCTCTGATTAATTGCTTGTTCACAAAGGATTTTATTTTTCCTTCATTTATGAAGCTTAGTTTGGCTAGATATGAGATTCTTTTCTCATATCTAGGTTGAAAGTTCTTTTCTTTAAGTATGTTGAATATTGGCCCCCCACTCTCTTCTGGCTTGTAGGGTTTCTACTGAGAGAGCTGTTGTGAGTCTGATCGGCTTCCCTTTGTGGGTGACTGGACTTTTCTCTCTGGCTGCCCTTAGCATTTTCTCCTTCATTTCAACCCTGGTGAATCTGACGATTATGTGCCTTGGGGTTCCTTTTCTTGAGGAATATCTTTGTGGTGGTCTCTGTATTTCCTGGACTTGAATATTGGCCTGCCTTGCTAGGTTGGGGAAGTTTATCTGGATAATATCCTGAAGATTATTTTCCAGCTTGGATTCATTCTCTTCGTCACATTCAGGCACACCTGTCAAACGTAGATTAGGTCTTTTCACATAGTCCCACATTTCTTGGAGACTTTGTTCATTCCTTTTTACCCTTTTTTTCTCTATTCTTGCCTTCTCGTTTTATGTCATTGAGTTGATCTTCAACCTCTGATACTCTTTCTTCAGGTTGGTGAATTTGGCTGTTGAAACTTGTGCATGCTTCACGAAGTTCTCATGTTGTGTTTTTCAGCTCCATCAATTCACTAAGATTGCTCTCTATGTTGTCCATTCTCCTTAGCATTTCATCAAATCTTTTTTCAAGGTTCTTAGTTTCTTTGCATTGGGTTAGAACATGTTCTTTTAGCTCACAGAAGTTTCTTATTACCCACCTTCTGAAGTCTGATTCTGTCATTTCATCACACTCATTCTCCATCCAGCCTTCTTCCCTTGCTGGTGAGGAGTTGTGATCCCTTGTAGGAGGAGAGGTGTTCTGGTTTTGGGTGTTTTCATCCTTTTTGAGCTGGTTTCTTCCCATCTTTGTGGATTTATCCACCTGTTGTCTTTGTAGTTGCTGACTTTCCGATTGGGTCTCTGGGTGAACTTCCAGTTTGTGGATGATGAAGTTATTTCTGTTTCTTAGTTTTCCTTCTAACAGTCTGGCCCCTCTGCTGTAGGACTGCTGAGGTCCACTCCAGGCCCTGCTTGCCTGGGGATCACCTGCAGCAGCAGCAGAACAGTAAGGGTTGCTACCAGTTTCTTCTTTTGCTATCTTTGTCCCAGAAGGATACCTGCCAAATATCAGTCTGTTCTCTCCTTTATGAGGTGACTCTTTGGATATACAGGGGTCAGGGAGCTGCTTGAGGAGATAGTCTGTCCTTTATTGGAACTCAAGTGCTGAGCTGTGAGCTCCGTTGTTCATTCTGAGTTGCTCGGCAGGTACGTTTAGGTCTGCTGCAGCAGAACTCCTTTTTTTTTTTTTCCCCCAAGTGCTGTGTCCCAGGGAGTTAGGGCTTTATTTATGAGTTTCCATTGTGCTGCTGCCTTTTTTTTTTCTTCCAAGGCTGCCCTGCCCAGCGAGGAGGCAGCCTAGTCACTGTCTGCCTGCAGAGGCTTTGCTGAGCTGCTATGGGCTCCACCCAGCTGCCCTGTGATCTTCCCTGCAGTCCTGTTTATTTGGGTATAGATAGGACTGCCTCAGCAATGGTGGCCCACCTCTGTAATGGCAGACTCTCTCTGTAATGGCAGGTTGCCTCGGCAATGGCGGGCTGCCTCAGTGATGGTGGACTACCTCTGTAGTGGTGGAGTGTCTCGGTAATGGCAGACGCCCCTCCCCCACAGAGCTGGACCATCCTGGGTTCAGCTGTGCTTGCTGTGAAACTCTCAACCCACAGCATTTTCAATTGCTGTTTTTTGTGTGTGTTGGGGAGGGGGGTGGGTCCAGCTGAGCCCGATCACCTGACTCCCTGACTCAGAGTCTGCTTTTTTTTTTTTTAAGTTGAATGGTCCACTCTCTCCCAGGTGTTCCATTCACCTGTTGAAAAGGCACCAGGATCTGTGTGATTTCCCATGTGGCGATTCACTGCCGGTGCTGAGATTTGTGGTGTTTTTTTTTGCCCAGGAATCTCCTGTCCTGGCTCCCTGTTTCATTTCCTTTTTAAATCAGATGTATGGGCGATCTGCCTTCCCACGTCTCCAATTGCCAGCTAAAAGGGCACCAGGACCAGTGAATTTGTACAGAGAACTGCCACGCCAGGGTGCTGGCAAAGCCGCCGCACTGGCCAAAATAGCCGCGCTGGCCAAAACAGCCATGCTGGCGACCCGTGGGGCTCCTCAGCCTGGGAATCTCCTGGTCTGTGGGCAATAAAAATCCATCTGGAAATGTGGCATCCACTCACCCTCTGCGCTTTCACTGGGAGCTGCAATCCTGAGCTGTTCCTAGTTGGTCATCTTGGGTCATTGATATTTTCTGTTTATTACAAAACTTTGAGGGCAGTGAGGATGTTGCCAGGATAATTCTTAAAAAAAAAAAAAAAAAACAAGTGGATTTAATGTTACATTTATAATGGGTGGTGTATATTAAATGTATTCATTCGAATATATTAATCAAATGAATGTGTTCAAAATATATGCATTCAACGAGTTGTGACTACTTTCTTTTAGAACCATTAAGATGTTTGCTTTATATGTCTGTCTTAATTTTGGTTCTATTGATAGGTTTTCCACCCATCAGCAGTCATAGCACAGTAAAGTGGCTTAGTTAATTTGCGACTATTTTATTGGGTTGTGACTTCTCATTTACTACTTAGGCAGGACTAAGGTGTACTGTAGTAACAATCCCCCATCCACCCACCTCCTGCGCAGTCTCAGTGGCTTAAGTAAGCAAAAGTTTATTTTTCACTCACACTGCTTGAGTGTGAGCAGAGGCTGATCAGAGTTCCCTAGGATCCCAGATCCTGGAGGCTTCATCTTGTCAGGAATTTCCATGATCTCTGCAGCATTGGGAAGGCAACATGGCAGATCATTCACTGGGTCTTACATGTTTCCCTCCAAAATTAGGTCACGTCTACTCAACATTCTTCTGGGTGATCTGTGTTATGTGGTCACACCTTCTTTCAAAGGGAAGAGTTCAGAAGGGAAAAGTTGGAAATAATTGGGAAACAGCACCAAAGACTTACATAGTAATGTTGAAGAAGAACAGACTCTGCCTCCCTCTTGGTTATACGATTTGAGCAGGGGGATTCTTTGTGACAGGGATGCAATAGCTACAAACATCACATAGACTAGATTTTTGTAGACTGGTGGATTCCAGTACTAGGAGGCGTTACATCTCTCTCCCTTTCTTGTGGCTGATCTGCGGACCACCTTCTAGATCAGTGCTTTCTTAGAATCACCTAAAGTATTTGTTTAATACAGCGGTTTCTGGACCAAACCCAGACATTCTGATTACCTGAATCTGAATCTGGGGTTAGGCTTGGAGAGCTATATTTTAATATACCATTAATTAGCATCAGAGCAGATGATCCAAAGTCAGAGCTGCTGACTTTGAGAAACACTGGTCTATATCATCCAGAGCTGGAAAAATATATTATTAAGTGTCATCTTTTATTTATTTTATTCCACCTTTACCAGACTTTTATTTTTAAGGGTAAGGATGTAGTCTTAGTTTTATACATGCTGTTTCATTGTCAGCCATAGTCAATGCTATTGTCAAGTTGGGAAACCATGGTCAGCAAACATACAGCTAACCAAGTTTCATGTGCTCCATTTGCTTCTGCTCAAGTTGGTGAGAAGAAGGAAATACAAACAGGCTTGTATTGGCATGAGGTTCATAACTACTCCATTAGTACTACCTAACATATATATAGGACTTTAAAAAGTTAAAGCTTCCACACTTTTTCTTCTTTGATCTTCATAACAATTCTACATCCTAGATAGGGCAGATTTTATGATCACATTTTTTAAGGTAAGAAAACAGCTGGGGAGAGAGAGATTTGTTTTTGTGAGGGGAATTACCTTTTATTCCCTTAACTTTAGCAGCAATACTGATCTTTATTCTGTACTGTATTCTTTAGAATTTAGAACAGTCAGTAACAAGATCTACTGAAATACAGTATTTGGATTAAGTCATGTGTCTACGTATCCACTTATGCCTAATGACTTTCAATGTAGAGATCACGCTGTGGGTAGAATAAGAAAGATTTCCCTCCGATCATTCTTGGCCAAGATCAAAAGAGGGCCAGGAGCTTCTCTGCTTCATCGTAGTTCCCAGTCATCAACTGAGACCTGACTTGCCCCTTAAATCTTCTGGAATACCAGAGTACAGTACTGATGTTTGGTTTTTTGTTTTCTTTTCCTGCAGTTTTCTGATTATCAGAATTACCTTGTAAACAGCTGTGTGAAGGAAAACCCCACCATGGAGCGATCTATTGCTCTGTGCAACGGCATCTCCCAGTGGGTACAATTGATGGTTCTCAGCCGCCCCACCCCACAGCTCCGAGCAGAAGTCTTCATCAAGTTCATCCAGGTGGCGCAGGTGAATAACTAGTTTAAGACTTTTGGCTTGGGCCATGAGGTAAACTTTCTGTCCACTTTTCCTCCAGCTTAGTCTATTCATGAGAGCTGTCTTTTCTCTTCTGAACCGTGGCAGGGGTTGGGGTGGTTTATGTGCCTTCAACTAGATCTCGATATGATGACTTGTCTATTCTTCCTTACAAGGAAAATGTGGAGGGGACCATATAGGCCATATCCGGGGTTAGGATACAGTTGTAGATCTGTTTTGATCTTTTACATTTTTCAAAAGATGCTTACCAGCCTACATTACTTTTCCGAGTCTGGCCCAGATGGCAAAGGAAAGGACAATTTTAAGATGTGCCAGAGCTGGAACCGGCCTGGATTACCTTAGGTCTTTGAGCCCACGCCATGGTGAATGGCTGCATTTAATGTTTGAAGGGCAGAGTTGAAGCATTTTATAGGAGGAAAACAGGTACTATGAACCCATAGTTGAAGTTGCCCAGAGATTCTAGCTTTTCTATCCCAGCTACTTTCCTACATATGTACTGGCATTGCACAGGAAAATAATACTATACCCTTACCCTCAAAAATAAAAGTCTGGTAAAGGTGGAATAAAATAAATAAAAGATGACACTTAATAATATCTTTCTCCAACTCTGGATGGTCTAGACCAGTGTTTCTCAAAGTCAACAGCTCTGACTTTAGATCATCTGCTCTGATGCTAACTAATGATATATTAAAATATAGCTCTCCAAGCCTAACCCCAGATTCAGATTCAGGTAATCAGAATGTCTGGGTTTGGTCCAGAAACCACTGTGTTAAACAAATACTTTAGGTGATTCTAAGAAAGCACTGATCTAGAAGGTGGTCCGCAGATCAGCCACAAGAAAGGGAGAGAGATGTTAACGCCTCCTAGTACTGGAATCCACCAGTCTGAATTAAGCCGAAGGGGAGAAATGGACAGGAAATTGCAATGCCTCATAACTAGTCTTCAACCAGCGGAAGGGAGACTCACAGCAAAGAGACGAGAGGCAGCCTCTAAGCTCTCCATGTAACTGACATGTACAGTGACTCTGCTGTCATCTGTCTTGTGTGTCACAGAAGCTCCACCAACTACAGAACTTCAATACACTGATGGCGGTGATAGGTGGGCTGTGTCACAGCTCAATCTCAAGGCTCAAGGAGACAAGTTCGCATGTCCCACATGAAATCAATAAGGTCAGTGCTGCTGTCTTCTCTGGGGCCCTTAGCAGCATTGTCAGAATGCATGCCAACATTTTCTACTTGGGGGGCAACCCAGAGAACATTTCCAAACCACACCATCCCTTGACAACCGGGCTGTGGCAGGGAGGCAAACCTTAAAGGAACCCATAGGTTGGGGAAGTCACGTTTTTGAGAGTAACCATTTTGTCTGGCCTCAGACAGTGTCACTGCAAACATTCCTGCTGGACCAGTTGAAACAACGTGTGCCTATTCCCATGTTCACAGGCCACTGAATATTCAGAGTTTTAACACTGATTCCCTCATTCCAGCTTTTTGCTCTAAAATGTGTTTTCGAAAGGAATAGTGGTTCAGTTGACCATAGGTCAGTTTGCCCATTGAGTATAGTTATATAGTGATACTTTAAAAACCTAGCTATCCAGAACCCTTGGAGAATGACATTCTAGATAGTTGAATTTTACCAGATAATTGGATATGAGTGCTTCACATACCATTTTGTAATATATAGTGTTTTATTAATATTTTTCTTAAATGTCCTATGCGTTTTCCTACATTACTAGATTTTATAAAATATACTTTAATCTTTTATGACATAGGGCTGTTTTGCTTGTTTGGTCCTTTTTTTAAAGGAAACAGGGTCTTGCTCTGTCACCCAGACTGGAGCGCAGGCTGGCATGATCATAGCTCACTGCAGACTCAAACTCCTGAGCTCAAGTGATCCTCCGACCTCAGCCTACCAAGTAGCTAGGACTACGGGTGTGCACCATTAAGCCCAGCTAGTTTTAAAAATTTTTGTAGAGATGGGGGTCTCCCTGTGGCCCAAGGCTGGCCTCCAACTCTTGGCCTCAAGGGATCCTCCCACCTCAGCCTTCTAAAGTATTGGGATTACAGGCATGAGCCACTGAGCCCAGCTGGAGCTATTGTTATAAATATAAACCACTGATATACTGAGGATATAAAGGTATGGCATGGGCTAGATAATGGCTTGTCTTTGAGCACTTTCATCTCATGTAAAGAGGACCTTAATATACTCAAGCCCCGATTCTTCCAAATTGGCATGAAGTATCTCCTTCTTAGGGAGAGATACTTGAGCTCATTGCCCAATCTGTTTTTCCCATGTGTTCAGCTCCTTTTTGGGGAGTGTTTTATTATCTCTTATCACAATGGTGAGCCTCTAGAAAGGCCCCCCACTTCCCAGTGGTCTGATCAAAAGGGCATCATCTTTAATCCACTCTTCATTCCTTAACAGTTCTACTGAAACCAGGTGGAACAGTTGAAAAGACTGCCCACATCTCACAGGTGACAGAGAGAAACAGTCACAGAGATTAATAAGCCTTCCTGTCATTTAGCTTACAAGATAGAGCTTGCTCCTCTTAAGCCTGGGGTCCCCCATAGCAGTGCTTCCTGTCGGTAGCTACTTGAAGCTCAGGGTGGTCTGCATAGTGAATTAGTAAGTCCAGGGTTGAAGCAAAAGTCCCGAAGTTGTTTTCACCTTCTGGGGGGAATAAAAATGTATCATTTTTGGTGTTACTCTCTTGTTTTGTGAGCCCCTTCCATACCTAGGGCTCACCTGCACTGCTGGTAGAGGTCTATGAGGAGGCTCTTTTGCTGTATCTCAGTGATTTGAAGAGGGCTGACTCCAAGAATTCCAAGTTATTCATTGTGGAGAAATGGTATTTTTTAGGCCACAATTTTATTAAAAGTTTGGGCAGTGTCTAAATGGGTTATAGCAGTCCCCGCTTATCTGAGGTTTTGTCTTCTGTAGCTTGTTATCCAAGGTCAACTGCAGTCCAAAAAAAATTAAATGGAAAATCCCAGAAATATAATTCATAAGTTTTATTTTATTTATTTTTTGAGATAGAGTCTTACTCTGTTGCCCAGGTTAGAGTGCAGTGGTGCGATCTCAACTCAATGCAACCTCCACCTCCCAGGTTCAAGTGATTCTCCTGCCTCAACCTCCCAAGTAGCTGAGATTACAGGCACGTGCCACTACACCCAGTTAATTTTGTATTTTTTAGTAGAGATGGGATTCCACCATGTTACCCAGGCTGGTCTTGAACTCCCAACCTCAGGTGACCTGCCCCTCTTGGCCTCCCAAAGTGCTGGGATTACAGGCATGAGACACATTTTAAAATGCATATTGTGCTGAGTAGCATGATGAAATCTTAAGTCATGCCACTCCATCCTTTTGGGACTCCTTAGAATCAGTCGCTAAGTAGCCATTTCTGTCATCAGATTGACTGTCATGGTATTGCAGTGCTTGTGTGCAAGTAACTCTTACTTTAATAATGGCCCCACATTGCAAGATTATGATGTTGGCAATTGGGGTATGCCAAAGAGAAGCCCTCAAGTGTTTCCTCTAAATTCTTAATAAGAAAAAAAAAATCACATGCCGAGGTTGCTAAGATCTAAGGTAAGAATGAATTTCATCTATGAAATTGTGAAAAAGAAGTTCATTCTAGTTTCTCTGTTGTACCTCAGACTGCAAAAGTTATGGCCACAGTGCACGATAAGTGCTTAGTTAAGATTAAAATTTGTGGGTAGAAAACATGAACATTTGTGGATAGAAAACATGAACAGAAATGTGTTCCAGTTGACGGCAATCGGGTTGTTACTGTGCACAGTTTCAGGCATCAATTAGGCGTCTTGGACTGTATCCCCTGCAAGGATAAGAGAGGACTCCTTATGTTGTATGATAACATGATTGGCAGTCACTTCATGTCTTTGCTTCTGAGAAAGCTGGTTATCACTCATGGGGAATGGATTCTGTGAACTGCTTGCTGACTTGAATGACATGTGATTAAAAAAAAAAAAAAAAAACAGATCTGGCTGATCTCTTTCTGTGCTGGTGAGCAGCCATTCCCACTTCAGGGATGAAGCAAGGTGTAACCTCTAATGTCCTCTCTCTTGTCCTTTGCTTGGAATTATGTAGTCTATTTAGTCTTTTTAGTTCAAGGTTTCAGTCTATGAATGGACGGTCACTTGCTTTCTAGATATACATAGGCCCATTTTGAGAATCTGGAAAGGCCCACCGAGTACCTCATAGAGAACACCACACAATAGACTACTGAAGCTCTACTCTTTAAACACATGCTTTTCCCTGTGCCAGTGACATAGTCAGCATTTCCTGACGTCGCATGTCAACTGCTAATCAATGCAGTGTCTCTGGAAGCATTCAGAAGACATCAGGGAAAAGAATCACATGGCTTGGGTCAACAAGAGTTAGAGGAATAGTTATTATTCGCTATATACTCTTGTAACTTTTTAGTTTTTATATCAGCTCCTTATTTTTGAAAGGAAAGAAATTTTAACATAAAAGTGATAAAACTCCCATTTACAATGTTTAAGTTATAGAATAGATTCAAGTAAAGTGTATCTTGTGTTTGTAAATATATTCTGTGATATTTGACATAGCTTGAGGTTTTAATTGGGGAGTCATAATCTGTACCTTTTACATGAATTACCCCCTGCTCAACAATTTCTAGATGGGGTGAGATCATGACAGGGAATCCAAATATGCAAGGAGGTCGTTACAGACAATACACATTGCCCAGCGGTTACCTGTGATTGGTCTGCTTTGCTTCGTAGGTTCTTGGTGAGATGACTGAGCTGCTGTCCTCCTCCAGAAACTATGACAATTACCGGCGAGCCTATGGGGAGTGCACCGACTTCAAGATCCCCATCCTTGGTGTGCATCTCAAGGACCTCATCTCCCTGTACGAAGCCATGCCTGACTATCTGGAGGATGGGAAAGTGAATGTCCACAAGCTACTGGCCCTGTACAATCACATCAATGAATTAGTCCAGCTGCAAGAGGTGGCCCCACCCTTGGAGGCCAACAAGGACTTGGTACACTTGCTGACGGTGAGGCTCACACTGGAGAACAATTACTAAGCACTTTCTGTGTGCCAACTGCCATTCTATACGCCTTACCAAATATTAGCTGTTAATCCTCATAAAGGCTCTATGAGGCAGATACTATTATTATTGCCAACATATAGTTAGGGATACTAAGGCACAAAGATGTAACTTGCCAGGAGACCACACATTAAGTAGCAGAGCCTTGATTCAGACCCAGGTGGTGGGACTCCAGAAGCGGTACCCTTCAGACTTCCAGAACTGTTTCACTACCCCTACTAAAGTGGTCCTAAGCTGTCTGGGAGGAGCAGATGGCAAATCAGGATACAAGAGTTGATAACAGATGGAGAGAATGTGCTCTCATAAAAAGGGCAGGCAGTAAGTAAAAAAACAAAAACACCCAGGGTTATTATTTGGTTCATGGCTTAGATCTTTGTTCTTGGAGATATTCAAGAAAAGGGTAGTTGTCAGTGGTGTTGGAGACCAGGAGTTGCATCTTGAGTGTGGGGTAAGATCAGATGAATTCCCTTCCAGATGTGCGATTCTGTAGTTCACCAGCTGTATGACTACAGGCATCTAACCCTCCAAGTTTCCTCTTCTCAGAGGGGTCAGTCACTGGGATGACTTGTAACTTCTCTTCCAGTTCTAAAGTTACAGTTTTTAACCTGCTGTTTCTGGAGAGTGGAATTATGATCATAACTTCTTTCTGCTTCACAGCAGGATTTTGATAGAGCCCTGGGTTTCACATCAGCTGGTTTGTGATCCTAGCCCTTCACTTATCAGCCAGGTGACCTTGGAAGTTCTGTGCTTCAAACATCATCATTTGTAAAAAAGATGCACTGAATCTTAACATTCTTTGGATTATAAATCGTGTGATGAAAGCTGTGAACCTTCTTCCCAGAATAATGTACACAAGCCATATATTTTTAAATAGGCATGTAATTTCAAGGAGTTCTGAACTCCTTGAAGCCTATGCATAGACTCAAGGTTAAGAATAAGATTATTCCTAAGACTTTTAAGACTTGTCTCCTAAAAGTTTATAGTTCTAAGATACATGAAACTCATGAACTTTTTTTTTTTTTTTTTTGAGACAAGGTCTGGCTCTGTAACCTAGCCTGAAGTGCAGTGGTGTAGTCTCAGCTCACTGCACCCTCTGCCTTCCAGGTCCAAGCTATCCTCCCACCTCAGCTTCCTGAGTAGCTGGGACCACAGGTGTGTGCCACCATGCCCAGCTAATTTTTGTATTTTTTGTAAAGACAGGGTTTTGCCATGTTGCCCAGAGTGGTCTCAAACTCCTGAGTTCAAGCAGTCTACCTGCTTCGGCCTCCCAAAATGCTGGGGATATAGCTACTGTACACCCAGCCTCATTAACTCTTAATAGCTGGATTTTATTGCTGGACTCAAAATTGAATAGTCTTAGACCATACACATCATCCTGTCAGATCATCTGTCTGCTTTGAGAGAGAACAACTGATGTATTGGTCATCTGTCCAAACAAGGCCTTCAGCCTAAGCTCTATACAGAGGCTTAGATTTAAATCATAGTTAAAAAGAGGGCATCCTAAGATATGTCCAAAATTTAAAAACATTTTAATAAGAATTAATGCTTGCCCTATTGCAATAGTGAGTGTTATACCTGTTTTATGAATTTTAAAAACAAACTTCTTAGAGCCTAGAAGAGTAAACTACTGGCAAGGAGGAACCAAGAAAGAAAGGAAGGAACATCAGCCCTGGGAGAGGCAAACAGCATCTTAGCAATGAACCCTGTTTTGCTTTGATCTGCAGTTATCCCTGGATCTTTACTACACTGAGGATGAAATCTATGAGCTTTCCTATGCCCGGGAACCAAGGAACCACAGAGCTCCAGTGAGTTTTTCATGTTAAGACTCCACATGTAACAGGTGCTTTACAAGTTTCTCCTCAAGTTCATTCATCCTCAGGAAGACTTTTGGTTCCTTTTAAGTATACTGCTTTTCTTAAGTGTCCATCCTTATGCTAGGAACAGAGAAAGCTTCTCAACATGTGTGTGAGGAATAGTTCCTGTCCATTAAAAAGCTATGATCTAGTTGAAGGGGTAAGCCGGATGTGTGACCAGTGACTAACGATGCCGTCAGAATGTCAGGTATAGTGGAATCAGTCAGTGGTTTACAAAGTAAAGAAGGAAGATAGTATTGTGCTCCAGAGTGACATCCCCCTCCCATTAAGAAGTGTCCCCACATACATTTCTTTTCTATGATTCATTGATGATAATCAGAGTAATACGCATATTAATCAGAAGCTAAAGTTTTGAAGATTTCCAGGTTGGTAGATAGAAAGGCCCCATTTTCCTATAATGTTCTGGGTGAAAAGAACAGTCTGCTGAGTATTTTGACCTCTTATGCTGAGAAGTCCTCACAGTAGTACAGTCCTGGCACTGCCTGCAGTAGGAACTTCACAGGTTATCTGCCCTGCCTTTCCCACAGAAATATCAATTTTCCAGCTTTCGATTGTAATGAAAGACGTCCACTGAATATGTTTGGTAGATTCCATTTTCAGGTGTTAGAGGCATTTCAATGGAAAGGGTACCTTCTGCTTTTGAAAGATTTTAATATGAGCTGAGTTTCAAATACAGGTATGCGCTGCATAATGACATTTTGGTCAGAGATAAACTTCATGTATGACAGTGGTCCCTTAAGATCATAATGGAGTAGAAAAATTACTCTTGCCTAGTGACAGAACAATTACACATTTTTTTCTCCTACATAGAAAAAAGGTTACAATGTTACATTGTAACATTGTAGTAAAACACACTACTCACTATGTCTGTGATTACACTAGTGTAAACAAACCTGAGCTGTAAAAAGTCCAGGTCATACAATTATGTATAGTAGATAATACTTGATAATAAATGACTATTACTAGCTTATGCACTTACAATACTCTTTATCATTATTTTAGAGCGCATTCCTTCTACCTAGGAAAGTTAACTGTGAAACAGCCTCAGGCAAGTCCTTCAGAAAGTGACAGTTCCATGCCCGTTATTGCCCCTAAAGACCTTCCAATGGGACAAGATGCGGAGTGGAGGACAGTGATATTGATGATCTTGACTCCGTAGAGACCTAGGCTAATGTGTGTAATTGCTTGTACCTTAGTTTATAACCAAAAAAGTGTTTTGTTTTGTTTTTGAGACAGAGTCTCACTCTGTCGCCAGGCGCTAGGTTGGAGTGCAGTGGCACAATCTTGGCTCACTGCAACCTCTGCCTCCCGGGTTCAAGCAGTTCTCCTGCCTCAGCCTCCCGAGTAACTGGGACTACGGGCGCATGCCACCACGCCCAGCTAATTTTTGTATTTTTAGCAGAGACGGGGTTTCACCATGTTGGCCAGGATGGTCTCGATCTATTGACCTCGTGATCCACCTGCCTTGGCCTCCCAAAGTGCTGGGATTACAGGCTTGAGCCACCGCGCCCGGCCCCCAAAAAAGTTTTTTAAAAATTAAACATTTTTAAAATAGAAAAAGGTTTATAGAATATGGCTATAAAGAAAGAAAATAGGCCGGGCATGGTGGCTCATGCCTGTAATCCCAACACTTTGGGAGGCCAAGGCAGGTGGATCACGAAGTCAAGAGATTGAGACCATCCTGGCCAACATGGTGAAACCCCGTCTCTACTAAAAAGTACAAAAAATTAGCTGGGCGTGGTGGTACATGCCTGTAGTCCCAGCTACTCAGGAGGCTAAGGCAGGAGAATTGCTTGAAACCGGAAAATGCAAGTTGCAGTGAGCCGGGATTGCGCCACTACACTCCAGCCTGGCTATAGAGCGAGATTATGTCTCAAAAAAAAAAAAAAAAAGAAAAAGAAAATAACTTGTACAGTTATGCAATGTGGGTTTTAAACTAAGTGTTATTACAAGAGTAAAAGTTAAAAGCAAAAAAAAAATTAAAAGCTTTTAAACTAAGGTAATTTATCACTGAAGAAAAAAATTTAATAAACTTAGTATAGCCTAAGTGTACAGTGTATATTAAGTGTATAGGAATGTACAGTAATGTGAGGCTTTCACATCTACTCCCCACTCATGACTCGCCAGAGTGATTTGTAGTCTTGTAAGCTCTATTCATGGTCAAGTGTCCTATACAAGTATACCATCTAAAAAAAAAATCCATACCACATTTTTACCTTTTGTATGTTTAGATATGTTAAGATAAACAAATACCATTATTACAGTTGCCTACAGCATTGAGTATAGTAACCTGCTGTATAGGTTTGTGGCCTAGGAGCATCTATCTATGTGTATACCATCTAGCCTAGGTGTATAGCAGGCTACACCACCTAGGTTTGTGTAAGTACACACTGTGGTGCTCACATAATGACAAAATCACCTAATGACAAATTTCTCAGAACATAATCCAGTCATTAAGTGATGCATGACTGAATTTAGAAAAGTGCTTGTCCACGCTTCAGATTATTTTTCTTGTGTCTTCCTGCCTTTTAGCTAGGCTTTTCCTTATTCACATTTCTACTACAGAGTGACTAGAGAATAGAGAGGAAACATAAATGATCCACTTTACTCTTTGTTGATAGCTCTGACAAAAGGTTCAATGGAGAGCGAATTGCAATTCAGGCAGATTGAGAATTTCACATTATCTGTAGTTGCCGATAACGTATGTGAAGAGCACTTTGGAAACCATGAAGCACAATAGCTTGTTAGCTAAAATTATTAGTAGAGATTTCAATTGCCTGTGGGTTTTCTGCTCCTTACCACTGAACATAATTGAAAATTGTCCATAAATGTAACTATCATGTAGTGGGAAAAGAGCTGTATATAATGTTGGATTGTAGTCATGAGGAATTCTCTGAATATTTCATTTTAGCCACTAACACCTTCAAAGCCACCAGTAGTAGTGGACTGGGCTTCTGGAGTATCTCCCAAACCTGACCCAAAGACCATTAGCAAACACGTCCAGAGGATGGTGGATGTAAGTACAGCTGTGTTTCAGCATGCAAAAGCAAGGCACTGCCTGGCTGAGTTTTGTACGTGGGGTAAAGGGAGAGGAGAGCATAATGATGGAAATAAAAGGTAAGAAACTTGAAAGGAAGCACTTACTTCTCTTACTGCGGCTTTAGAACAATTCAAAAGTTATTCTGACAACACACTTTGGCTTCATACGAAGGCAGTTGTGCCTCTTAAAAGACCTAGCAGAAGAGCGTGTTTAAAGGTTGTCAGTTGATTTAGGAGCAGAGAAGTATTGGGATATATTTGAGTATAGTGAGGGTAATAACGTAAACTTAAAACTGAAAAAGTTTGTACTGCTTGATTCAGTTCTCGGTGCTAATTGCTGAGGAAGGGGTATATATTCTCATACGTCTGCATTTATCCTTGTGGGAAACTCCCATGTGACAAAAAACTAAGAGCAGAAAAGTGAGAAACAGAAGTTGAAGAGTCGGGACAGTGTACTTCCAACTGGGCTGTTTACAGAAGCTTCTCAACGAAGGGGCAGCTGGAGCTGAGTGACGAAAAAAGGGCAAGAGTGAAGGGGGAACATCCCTCCTAGTCAACTAGGAGTAGCCGGTGTGATGGTATAACTGATGTGCTAATGACTGAAAGTACCTGGACACCCTCCAGATGCTGGTACCAGCAAAGGCCTAAGATGTGACCGGCCACATCTTTGCCTCAGCGAAAGCAGGTGTCCCTATTCCTCTCCTTCAGGCTGTTAATTGGCTTTTATCCAAAGGCCCCAGCTCTTTGTCATTTTACTAAAGGCAGAGAAGACCAGTTTCTCTTTAGTAATCACCCAAAACACTCCTTTTTCACAGTCTGTCTTCAAGAACTATGATCATGACCAGGATGGATACATCTCTCAGGAAGAATTTGAAAAGATTGCTGCGAGTTTTCCATTTTCCTTCTGTGTGATGGACAAAGACAGGTGAGGGTTTGTATACAGGAATATGTGGTTATGAGCCCACTGGTGAGAACACGTTTATAGGTATGTCACTAGAAGAATTTGAAAACTCACATGTGTTGCTGCTGTGATCACATAAAGAACTGACCATGAAATATGCATGCTTTTATTTAGGGCTGGGCACGGTGGCTCATGCCTGTAATCCCAACACTTTGGGAGGCTGAGCTAGGTGGATCACCTGATCTCAGGAATTTGAGACCAGCCTAGTCAACATGATGAAACCGTGTCTCTACTAAAAATACAAAAATTAGCTGAGTATAGTGGTGGGTGCCTATAATCTCAGCTACTTGGGAAGCTGAGGCAGGAGAATTATTAGAACCCAGGAGGTGGAGGGTTGCAGTGAGCTGAGATCACGCCACTGTGCTCCAGCCTGGGCCACAAGAGCGAAACCCTGCCTCAAAAAATCTGAATTGAATATTCCATAAATCTGCCACTTTAGAAATAGACAACTCTAAATAAGAAAAAGTTTAAAAGCACTTCTTGCTTTGTCATTACAGATTCTGGGAAACAACTAATACTTAATATTTGCATATTTACTTTTCTCGAGGTTAAATACTACCTTGGTTCTCTATAGGAAACCAATTGTATGGTTAGTGGATTCCAGTTGGGTTCTGTTTTAAGTTAGAAACTGTAGCCTAAGACATTTTTCTCCCAATACATGTGTACATTTTACATTGTTTATTTTTCCAGTCTTGTAGATAGTGGTCAAGTTAGTTAGGAAAACCTAGTTTGGCTGAAGAACAACTCTGTGGAAATGAATAACACTGCCTCACCTACTTACTATATGCCATCTTGTATCCTTGTTAAGAGTAGGGCTCATGGAAGTCATCATGAGGTAGCACACACCATATTACCACTGAGGATAAAAAGAAAGGTGAGTTTCTAAGGCTAGAAGCCACCCTTGCCCCATGCCCCTTATACTCACATCCTTGCCTTGGTCATTTGCTGGCAGGGAAGGCCTCATCAGCAGGGACGAGATCACAGCCTACTTCATGCGAGCCAGTTCAATCTACTCGAAGCTGGGCCTGGGCTTTCCTCACAACTTCCAAGAGACCACCTACCTGAAGCCCACATTTTGTGATAACTGTGCTGGATTTGTAAGTTGTTCTTAGTGTGCTTCAGGGTTGAATTTGGGGAAGGGTATGGGACAGTTTAACTAAGACACATTCCTTAAAAACCCATCCCAGCTTAGAGCCCAAAGAGACTCCTGGAATCACCTAGGGTTCAAGTGTGTGGTTTTTACCTGCACTCATTGTCTCTTGTTTCTTCCTGATTTTTCTTTTCCACGTATGAGGCCTTAGATAAATGGTACTGAAATGCTAAATTAGGGATGTACTTTTAAAGTATTATATTCATGTGCTGTTTCAAGTGTTATAACAAAGTGTTATAACATACAAGATCCCTTCTGTCTTTAGGAGATAACCTGGGCTGTGCCCCTCCTCCGTTCCACCCCTGACTAATAGTTTCCCCCTAAACCCAGGCTCCTGATGCAAGGCTCTGTATCCTCCTCAGTTTGGAGTCCTGAGGAACCTGTTTGCCCTGTGATTCATCAGTTTCTGGAGAATGTCTGGGTCATAAAGCTGCTAGTGAGGGCTAGGTGTGGCGGCTCATGCCTGTAATCCTAGCACTTTGGGAGGCTAAGGCGGGCAGATCACTTGAGACCCAGAGCTCGAGACCAGGTTGCCTAATATGGCAAAAACCCATCTCTACTAAGAATACAAAAAACATTAGCTAGGTATGGTGGCACATGGCTGGTACTCCCAGCTACTTGGAAGGCTGAGATGGGAGAACTGCTTGAACCCAGGAGGTGGAGGACGCAGTGAGCCAGGATTGCACCACTGCATTCCAGCCTGGGCAACAGAGCAAGACTATTGAAAAAAAAAAAAAAAAGCTCTATCTTCTGCATCTTGAGAAACTTTGATCAGCATAAACTTTTCTCATGTTCAGTTAAGGTCAGAAGGGAAAAGACATGAGATATAAATAAGGTTTTCATCCCACCTAAGCTAGAAAGTAGAATGAAGGAAAATAAGGCATGTCACTTTGTGATGTGGTGCATTCTGTCTCTTGTTTTGTAGCTCTGGGGAGTGATCAAACAAGGATATCGATGTAAAGGTAAGACTCAGCATTGCTGACTGTTTTTTTTCTGGTGTATCAGTCCATTCTCACACTGCTATAGAGAACTGCCTGACTGGGTAATAATTTATAAAGGAAAGAGGTTTAATTGACTCACAGTTCCACAGGGCTGGGGAGGCCTCAAGAAGCTTACAATCATGGCAGAAGGGAAAGCAAACACATCCTTCTTCACATGGTGGCAGGAAAGAGAAGTGCCAAGCAAAAGGGGGGAAAGCCCCCTATAAAGCCATCAGATCTCATGAGCACTCACTCACTATCATGAGAACAGCATGAGGGTAATAGCCCCCATGATTCAATTACCTCCTATCTGGTCCCTCCCATGACACATGGGGATTATGGGCACTACAATTCAAGGTGAGGTTTGGATGGGGACACAGAGCTAAACCGTATCACCTGGTCTTGGAGTCCCTCCTCTAAAACTTTTTTTACCCATAGTAGTTGTCCATTTAGTCCACAGCTTCTCAGCAGAGTTCAGAGTCTCATCCCCAAAGTGGTTTCCCTAGGACACCCCTCGTGAATGACCACCACACCAAAAACAATGTCTGGTTATGAAGTTAGCCAGTTTCCCTTTATAACATCCTGTCTTCGTTGGCCTAGAACAGGCATCCCCAAACTATGGCCCGCGGGCCACATGCGGCCCCCTGAGGCATTTATCCAGCCCCCCGCTGCACTTCAGGAAGGGGCACCTCTTTCATTGGTGGTCAGTGAGAGGAGCACAGTATGTGGCGGCCCTCCAACAGTCTGAGGGACAGTGAACTGGCCCCCTGTGTAAAAAGTTTGGGGACGCCTGGCCTAGAAACAGGGATGGCTGGTACGAGATGGTGATCTCATATAGTCATGAAGTGACTTTCTACATTTAGCCCTCTGTTTCTAGAATTTTGACAAAATTCTGGTCCCCAGTGAAAAGGACAGAATCACTTCTGGACCAGAAGATAAATGATTACTGAAGGCCCTTGTCAGCCTTCCTTTATCAGTAGAGACATCAGGACATAACTGTCCTTCCTTGTGACTAGGAAGATTCAGGAGTGTAAGAGAGGAGACCTTGTACTGAAAGGAGGAAAACAAGACCTAACAGCCGATCACTTCTGGAGGGTTTCACTAGAGTAGGCAGAATGTGTGGGATACCAGGACACCATGTCTTCCCTCCAAGGTATCAGGATGCTGCTTCTGATGCTGAGACTCACCGATAAGGGCTACATCAAGAGTGTGAGCTCTGGGCTTCACCAAGTGAGAAGAATGCTAGGTTCATTAGGAATGTTAAGTGTCTTAGCTCCAGAAGATAGAACAGACATGTGTCACAAGAGAGCACTGCATGAATTTGGTTTTAAGACACATTGTGGAAGAGAGAAAGTGAAACATTTCTTGACCCAGGATGTCTTATCCACAGACTGCGGGATGAACTGCCACAAACAGTGCAAAGATCTGGTTGTGTTTGAGTGCAAGAAGCGAGCCAAGAACCCAGTAGCTCCCACAGAGAACACCCCCTCTGTGGGGCCCATGTCCAACCTTTGCTCACTGGGAGCCAGAGATCTGCTCCATGGTAAGTAGGCACTGGGAACATTCATCTTGGAAAGTGAAGTAGGAAGGGAAAAGTTTTAGAGGAGGAAAGATGACTTCATGACTCTATGTTTGAGTTTCAATTTAACCTGAACAGCTAGGCCAGGGCTGAACCCTCCCACAGCTTTGGATTTTAGCTCCATGCCTATGTCTCAGACTTAAGAAGGTGTGAGAATAGCAGAGTCCAGTTAGGCATTAAAACCAGCAGGTACTTACTGAGCACCTACACCAAGCACAGATGCTGACTTCAGGCCAAGATAGTGCCTCAAGTTAATACTGAAGTATCCCCACTCCAACTCCGGCTCCAAACCCAAAACAGTGATAGGGAGAATATGTATGTACATGGGTATGTATGTGTGTATATATAATAATAAATTAACATATATAGTATGTAAATAATATTAAAAGGCATAGTACATTCAAAAACAAAGACAAAAATCTCACAGGTCAGATATGTACTAGAAGAAACACATTGCAAAGAGTAGAAAAAGCTACTGGTCTGCTTTGGCTGCATATGTAGGAAGCAGGTAGAGGCAGCTGTGAATTAGATTTTTGCATAGTAACAAAGACCACGGTGGTCTATGCAGGAAAGGTGACCAGAACCAGACTTACTGCTTAAAATTGAGAAAGAAGGCTAAAAAATAAAAAATAATAATAAAAAAAAAAAACTGTGACTGTCACTTAGCAGCAAGAAGCAGACTTACCCATGGGCAGTCTTCTACTAGCTGAGTGACTGTGATATCCCCAATTTTTCTCCAGGAGAGGAGCCCCAAGCCATTAACTTAAGACCAGGTCCTTGTCTGCGGGACCTAGAAGGGCCAGGTTGGAGGTATTTGTCAAAATTCTAGAAACAGAGGGCTAAATGTAGAAAGGAAGAGGGAGAACAAAACTCCTACCCAAGGGAATCTTGCAGATTAAAATTCCAGATCACACAAGGAAAATTCTAGGACTAGGCCAAAACATTCAACATTCAAAAAATAAACTAGCGAATTCACTTATATTAAAATGCAAACAGCAGTACAATAAGGAAATGATTTTAAACTAAATATGTTTGGGATGCCCCAGGTCTAAAGAGCAAAGAAGCAGAATAGACTACCTCTGTCTTCACGGAATAGTTCTAGTTCGGGGGAAAGATAATAGACAACTATAGAGCAGTTTAGAAACAATGCAAGAATATATACTAAGAGTCAAACAGGTTGCGGAGACACCAAATGACAGGAGGACATAGCAAAGAGATCACTCTGCTGGGGCTGTTAGGACGTTATGGAGAAGGTGGAATTTCAGCTAAGTCTTGAAGGAAGGGTAGAATTCAGTCAAGGGGGGAGGCGGAGCACATTCCAGATAGGATGTACGGTCGGAGCAAAAGGCAAAGGGCAGAACAGCTTTAGTACTGTTGAGATAGTGGGGAGGCGGGGGAAGGTGTTACGGCAGAAATGAAGGTTTAGGTAAGAGATAAAGTAGAAAAACAAGACACTCTAGAGAGTCTTAAATGACAGATGTCTATCTAGATGTCTATCTATATGATAAAATGAGCTACTTAAAAAAGAGTGACATGAAGGGTTTGTTGGGGAGGGTTGGGGGCACAAGGCTTCATAGTGCTATACTAGGCCCTGCTCTCTGGGCCGGCTGGTTAGCCAGCATGTCAAAACACTGATTACCTTGACTAACTAACGAACATATAGGTCTTGGGCAAAAATCCAATGCTTATTAGGTTAGTGCCAGTTTTATATAAGAAGCCATGTGACTTCTAATTAGAACCCCAAAGGCAAGTAATAAATAAGTTTATTTATATAAAGCACTTAAAATCAGGCCTAACACATGTACCATATGTTAATATCATTACTTTTTTGAAATAAGCTCCCTAAAGTGGTAAGGCCTCTATAGTTACAACAGATGCCTAGAGAAAACTCCATATAGTATATATCTTCATTTAAAGCACTTCTAATGTTCATTGGTAAATATCAATATACATTTATTGATCAATTAGATCAAAGCTTAAGTGCTTACTTCCATGTAAGAAATGCATAATCCAGTTTATCCCATCAGCCAAATACAAATTCCTAAATCCTTCCCCATACTATCTGTCTAAACACAGGCTGACTTGAAACTTTTGGAATGTTTTGTACTTAGGGGGAAAAATCCTCAGTCTTTTCTAAGAAAGAAGATGCTAATCAACTAAGGATTTGATGTCCAGCTTTTAATAGAAATCACAAGCACCATTGTGAAAAATAGGCCTGTACCCTGTATTTCATCATGAACTCTGTATTTTCAGAGTTACACATAACCTTAGGGCCCTATAATTCTGTCACATAAAATGCAGATTTTCAAGTGGAAAAGGTAGCAGAGAGCAGCCTGAATCTCAAGCCTCAAAAGGGAATCCCTGAAGGGTCTGCTGTTAAGAGACTTCTCCTCTCCAGGCCATCTCTCCTCTTTCTCCAACCCCTGCCCCACACTGGTAAGACAAGCACTTTTCAGGACCAGTAAGTAGGATAAACACACGTTATCATGGGCAACAAAATGAAAATTACTATATTACTATAAAGTTGCTAAAAGTCAAGGTCTATTTGACTTTTACCTTTTAGAAAATTACTATATTAAGTTGCTAGAAGTCAAGGTCTATTTCTGCCAGGCAGAAAGGATGATTGGGTATCATCCATTCTAGTTGTTTCCATCGCATTATTATTTGGGATGGTATCTGCTTATCAAATCAAAATTTGCAGTGATTTAGCCCATTACTGTCTTTCTCAATTTCATCAACTTTTACTTTCGTGAAACTTACACCTCTCCTGATTTCTATACCACTGTGGTCTCTTGGACTCTTCCTGCAATGTTAAGGGCTTTCTGTTGCTTTTTGCTCTTACTTGCTTTCTGCCTTTTGCTCCCCAAAGTGTACGGTGCCCATGCTCCCTTTATGTCTAGGAATTCAACCTAAATCATAGAAGGGATTATACTCATAATTTGGCAATTTAGGCTGGTAAAAAGAATATATAACTGTATTACAGAAAAATTGGAAAGTGGAGATATAAAAAATCACCCGTAATACTCTTCCTAAAAAGACAGTGTAATTATTTTAGGGTGACCATAACAATTTAAATATTTGAGAATTTGAATAACTATGTAATTACAATTTTGAGCTTTCTTGGAGAAATAGTAAATGTTAATTTAAATTACGTTCTCTTCAGCAAGAATTAAACTAGGATCTTTGTAAAATTTCTAGTTTTACAACTGGTCGATTCTGGTCAAATACTAATTAGAAAACTTTTTGTTTTTTAAAGCTATTTTGACTATACTAATCCAATGTCTTCAAAGTCAGACTATCCAATATTTTAAACACTGCTGAGTCTTTCCAAAAAGTAAACTTAGATGATTTGCAGTTTACCTGAAAGCCTCTCTGTCACCCATCTTAAATACATCTGCTCTTACTCTACTTTTCCAGGAAGTTACTCCTTATGGTTAAAATTATTGGCTAGGTCCTGGGTAGTGGGTGGGTCTTAGATGAAGAAGAAAACCAGAATAACTTACCTTTTTCCTATCAGTATCAAACAAGGGCAATTCATTTTAATGCACATTTCTTTCTAATGGTTAAGCTGTGCCCACTCTCCCCAGAGAGTTCGTATCATTTGCTTGAGGGTGTCTGTATCAGGACTGAGACATGAATGCTGAGAGCTCCCAAATTTCAGGGTCCAAAGAACCATTTATGGAGCATTTCTGTCTATATATTATTCTTGTTCTCTTTAATTTATGAAACTATGGCACTGAGGCAGGGGCTTCAACTTACCTCCCAAAACAGAAACCCTCTAGGCAACCTTTGTGCAAACAGAAGATGCTCTTTCTCAGGGTGGATGTAGCTTGACACCAGTGGCCATGTCTTGGCCAGCAAAGCCCCCGATTTCAGCCCTCATTTACCACCTAAACTGAGTGCCTGAAAACGGGTCCTCTTTGAACATATGGAACTCCTGTAACAATAAGAAAGGTCTCATTGAAACTAATGAGTCAGTCTTGAGTCTCTGCTTTCCTGAGTTAGAATGTCTGGTATTTTCCCACAGCACCTGAGGAAGGACCTTTTACATTTCCTAATGGGGAGGCTGTGGAACACGGCGAGGAGAGTAAGGATCGGACCATCATGCTGATGGGAGTGTCCTCACAGAAGATTTCTCTTCGGCTGAAGAGGACTGTTGCCCACAAGGCCACCCAGACCGAATCACAGCCTTGGATGGGCAGTGAGGGCTCTTCAGGTCCCTTTGTGCTGTCTTCCCCAAGGAAGACAGCCCAGGATACTCTTTATGTGCTTCCCAGTCCCACCTCTCCATGTCCTAGCCCAGTCTTGGTCAGAAAGCGGGCTTTTGTCAAGTGGGAGAATAAAGACTCCCTCATAAAATCAAAGGAGGAGCTCCGTCACCTCAGACTGCCTACCTACCAAGAGCTGGAACAGGTACCTCCTTTTCATTTTCCTTTTTTTTCACACTATCTTAGAGAAGTGGAGCCAAACCAGGAAAGAGCATGTGAACTCAAGATTCTGAAGATTCTGATCAGGCTGACTCCAAGCAGTCATTTTTTTTTTTTAAAAAAAAAAAAGAGAGGAGAAACAGAGGGAGGGAAGGAAGAAAGGATGGATTGATTCCAGCTTTCTCATGACCCAGAAGGGGCCTTGGTTCATATTACACAAGTAGCACAGGCTTTACAGGGCTCCCTGTTACCACACAGGTTGCATTTCAAAGTGCTGGTGCCAGTGCCCACAGCACTGTTTACTAGGCTCACGGAGAAAAACCACAGTATCTACGGGTCAGCTTTACTGTTCTACCACTCCTTTTCTAGATGGAACTAAAATGAACGTGCCTAAATCCTCCTTCACTAGAGGTCTCTTTAACATGTTCATCAGGGTTATGGTTTGGGATCATGGTTACCTAAGCATCTTCCTAAGAGAAGTTAGTGATTTTAGTTCTACAGCAACAAGAGAAAGGTGAGTGTATTGTGGCTCACCATAGAAAACACCTACTTCCTAATTTAAATGAGGAGAATCTTTCCTGACACATCAGGAAATGTGCTGATCTTTTATACATATTAGAACAGTGAAAGCGATAGCAGCAGCAAATGCATGGCTGAATATAAGATAGAGCAATATAATCTATAAAATGTTTACAGTTATGACAATGGGAGCTGCTTTTTAACGTTAGGTTCACAATATCCTAATTATGAGGTACCTAATAGAGACAATGGAAAAGACAAAATAAAGTATACCAAGAAAAGGAGAACAAGAGTTTGGAAACATAATGACAAGCTTTGAGAGAAGGGAACAGTGACATTAAAAACAGGAAAAAGTAGGGCTGGGTATAGTGGCTCACACCTGTAATCCCAGCACTTTGGAAGACAGAGGTGGGCAGATCACTTAAGGTTAGGAGTTCGAGATCAGCCTGGCCTCGACATGGTGAAACCCTGTCTCTACTAAAAATACAAAAATTAGCCAGGCATGATGGAAGGTGCCTGCAATCCCAGCTACTTGGGAGGCTGAGGCAGGAGAGTTGCTTGAACCCAGGAGGTGGAGGTTGCAGTGAGCCAATATGGAGCCACAGCACTCCAGCCTGGGCAACAGAGTGAGACCCCATCTTAAAAAAAAAAAAAAGAAAGAAAAGAAAAAAAAAGGAAAGTAGGAAATGGGAACAGCACAAGGAAGAAGAGCCAACAGGCAACTGTCGAGACACTCAATTCTGTAGGTTCAATCACTGATATACTTCTGTTTGTTTAGACTAGAGGACAAAACTCACAGGGCTGTCTCAAGAGGTTACCTTTAATTGGTAATAACCTGTAAATGGTAAGAAACTGTGTCCTACGACATTTTTTTTTTTTTTTTTTTTTTTTTGATACAGAGTTTTACTCTTGTTGCCCAGGCTGGAGTGCAATGGCACAGTCTTGGCTCACCACAACCTCTGCCTCCCAGGTTCAAGCAATTCTCCACCTTTAGCCTCTCTAGTAGCTGGAATTACAGGCATGTATCACCATGCCTGGCTAATTTTGCATTTTTAGTAGAGATGGGGTTTCTCCATGTTCATCAGGCTGGTCTCAAACTCCTGACCTCAGGTGATCTGCCCACCTTGGCCTCCCAAAGCGCTGGGATTATAGGCGTGAGTCACCACACCAAACTTTACTATCCTATGACAGTAGTTTCTTACCAACTGTCATAGGATAGTAAGGTTTGGTAACTAAGCCATTTTAAAGACAGGGAAGCAAGGATACATTAATATCAATCAGCATTATCATTCAGTATATTAGAGGAGGAGGAATGCCTTTCTGCCTTTTCCCAAAAACATCAAGGTTTGCACTGTGTTTCTGGAAGCCTGTCAGTGCAAACACAAAACCAGTATCCAACTAATAGAATTCCTTATATAATTCTACATTCTGCAGAGTGAAAAACTGTCCCTGAGGGTTTCAAGATTCCCTGCATTGTCCTCAATGCTGTACCTTCCCTGTCAGACCCCAGATATTGGATTAAAGAAACATTTGAAGAAACAAATTAGATAATGTATATGAAACTCTTGATTTGGTGCTTGGTACAAACAACATAATATTAAGACAAACTTACGGAAAAAGAACAGATTTTCTGGATGAATGGTACTCTGCCTGCTCAGAGTTATTGGAAAGATGTGTTACAAAAACCAAGTCAATCAGAAGGTAGCAAAACGTAGCTTACACAAACCCCTTCCTCTTTAGGGATAGAAACTGCCAAATGCAACCTTTAAAAACCAAGAAAGAAACCTCAAAAAATGAACTCAATAGAAAGAACTTTGGTCTTGGAGGCAAAGATTTATGTTTTCAGTCCCAAATGTTTCTTACACCAGCTGTTAAACTCTGTGGTCTAGTTGGTCCTTGTGAAACACAACGCCGGGATCCCATGTTCTGTAAGGTTTGCCTCAATGACATTTTACATGCCAATGAAAAGGAACAATGTGGTTGGCAACAATGCTCTGAAAGATGGCTTGTAGAAAGATTACAGTTCCTAATCAGCAATATCAGAGCCAGTAAACCGTTTTTGCCCATTGCCTCTTTACTTTTTAGGCTTGTCATATAGACCTGAGCTCCACAATTCACTGTGTGCATTTTAGAGGAAAATTATATGTCCCACTTTCCCATTAAGTATAATCCTTACAATGACTAGTCTGTGTAATTCAACAGTCCTATCCGTAACAACTAGTCAAATTAAATCAGTATTTACAATAATACGTAATGTATATTAGTAAGCATTAATGTTACATATTATTTTAAGTATAATGCACCTCTGAACCAACACAGGACAAAAGAATAAGCAAATAAAAGCTTTTAGGCTTAGATAAACCAGAGTTCAACTCTGCAGTTTTATACTATATGGCAACATTTTCTTCTATAAAATTAAGGTATACCACCTATTTTCAGGGTGTTTGTGAAGGTTAAGGTATTCCATTATCATATAACACAGCACAGACACATAGCAAGTGCTCAGTATTGTATGGCAGCTAATACAGCTATCTGGATAATTCAGAATGAGAAACAACCCAGTGTATCCCAAATTACACAGACATTGTCTGTATATAGTATTCTCTTGGAATAATCAATACAGAATAAGATAATATAAGAACACTGGACTCAAAATTAGAAGACTGGAAATCAGCTCTTGGCTGTATGATGACACCACTACAGATTAGATCACTAAATCTCAATTTAGGGGTGGGGTAAAATTCTTAGCTTAAATTAGCTATGAGACCTCACATTGAAGAATTCTGTTACGCTTTCACGGCTTAGACCTGACCAGAGACTCTGTTTATGCGAAGTTGAGATCTCCTGAGAGAAGACATCCAAAGGTTTTGTCATTACCCACTGATTGCTTCGAAATGGTTTATTCTGCCCACTAACCACTCACAAACTTTGATAAGATAACAAAGACTAACTGCTGCTTACAAATGCTCATTTGATATTTAACTTGCTATTTTCTATTCAGGGCAAAATAACTGTCTTGAAAATAGTTTTTAATTCTCAGCCACAGTGAATAGGAGATGCCAGTCAAAAGTAGCACTCTCCATTCGTAATTGATTTGCTATTCATTGCTGCTTTATTAACATACCTCATTCTCCTTTCCCTTTAGGAAATAAATAATCTGAAAGCAGATAATGATGCCCTAAAGATCCAACTGAAATATGCACAGAAGAAAATAGAATCCCTCCAGCTTCAAAAAAGCAATCATGTCTTAGCTCAAATGGAGCAGGGTGACTGTTCTTAGCCCAGAAACTCAAGGAGCACAATCTGTAAATGAGTATATAGTGGAGATCTCATTTCCAAAAGTGACTGTAACACACAGATCTGAGGAAGTTCAGACTGACCAGCTTTAAAACAGTACTTTAAAAGGAAAAGCCTCTGTTTATTTACCTAAAAGAATCCTAATGTGCAGCACTGTTTTCTCCTTCAGTCAGTTGACTCAAAGGGGGAAAACTAAAGAATGCAAAACTTTTGCTATTCATACTGCTGATGTTTATCAAAAGTATGTGATCTAAAACATGACTATCGTTTCCTGACAAGGGGGCATCTCAGTGGCCTGCCTGGCTGGTTATTCCTTAAAGCTAAAATCTCTGGAAAATGTATTTGCTTCCTACCCTGTTTTCTGTCAACAGACTTATTTTGTTCCAGCCAAAGCTTGCTTATAATAGAAAACTACCCATATCCCAAGAGTAGATTTCCTCTATATCCCAGCATACTTTGTAAACCCCGCCCCTTCTTCACTACCTCAGATCTAATTAGCCTATATACCCTCCTTCCTCACTACACTCATACACATGAGCATATCAACCTATGAGCGGATTTCTACCAATATAGCCACAACATTTTAGAGGCCTATTAAACAAGACATTATCCAACTGCAGGTCAACTCATAGTTGTAGCCTTACAACTTACAGTCGTCATAAAATAAGTAGTCAAATTAGGTACCTGAAAACATAGCTATTACCATCTTATATTACTGGTTAATTAAAATAAACATAATGCAAACATGTTTGTCCTTATATTACACAGTGGATGGAATTAGGAATTGATGGCTTTAAAATAAAAAAAAAGTCTGTGAAGAGTCTAACTCTTCATGCTCCATCTTCTGAAAGTCCTCTTATTGAACTGAATTTGTGCTTAACTGTCTTCACTATTACTACTGTTTAGAAATAAGCTAATTGGATCAGTGGCTTCAATAGCTGACTGTGTGTACATATGTATATAATATGTATATACAATATCAGGCATGTATGTGGCTTGGAATTTTGTTTCCTCCATAAAATGTGGAAGTGAATTAAACAAGTTTTAGTCATTTATACAAAGTCACAAATATAAAGTTCAGTTTGTCACAAGATTAGACTGCTCACAAGGTAAAACTATTGTTTGGCAACATCACAATCCTGTGAGTTTTCTATTATGAAGGTTAATAATAAATGGGCTCATTTAGTTGCTTGGGCAACTATTCACAAATTCCTTTGTCAGCCTCTTTTTAGTTCTCTTAAAAAAAAAATCATACAATCATTTTCCTTTTTCAAGGTACTTGGTTTCCATGCCTGAAAAGTCTGGTACCAGACTGACTGGAAATTCATAAACAAGCTATCCAGTTGCCGAGAATATAATGTTAACAATTAAAAGTTCCAAACCTAAAGCCAAGAGCACCACGTCTTCATAGGAATACAAAGTATGTATACAGCATTGCTTACCTGGAGGATTCAGATCATTTAAGAATTCTCTTTGATGAAAGACCAGTTCCCATTTGCATTCCTCCTTGCACTGAGTTTTAGTGACATAGAACTAGGTTGCAGTTAGTGTTTCATTACATTATAAAGAAACATTTTACACACATATTTGCCCTTTTCTAAATCTAAATTCAGAAATACCCAAAGCAGGCCTGCTTAGGCCCACAAACTGGCATGTAAACTTAGAGTAACACTTTGTTACTTGCTTTTTATAGGACAAACGTTAGGACAAACTCTTAAAATTCATATTCTTCATTATTTTCCTTTGATACAGACCAAAGATGGACTACTTCAATTTTTTAAAACAGTCACAGAACACTTTTTTTTCATTCTTCCTACTTTCCATCCAAAATAAAGATCCCCACTGAGTTTTTATATAAATAATCTATAATCTGTAGGGATTCAAAAGGTTACAGCCCCTTTAGTCAAATTAGCAATGGCTAAACAGTATCAAGTACTGCAGAATTTACCACCGAAATGGACAAGAGCTTGAAACAGTTTCACCACAGGTCTTTACAGTCCAGCAAGGCCAAGGAGGTATAGTATAGTATACAAGTTAACAGTGTTCGTGTTGAGCAACATGGGGCTAGTGGGATCTACAGAAATAATGAGAAAAAAAGGTTTTGGTTTCTCAAGCCTAGTACAACTTTTTGCTTCTCACACTGACTTTAGTTTGGCCACGTATTTATCTGCCAAAACAAGGACAAATCTTGTTTTACTAACAGCAGGGTCACTTCTCATTTTCTTTGCTGACTCACCTTTTACTGACCAGTTGTGAATTTCTGTCTAAAAATGTATAATATAGAACTGCAAGAAAAAAACAAATGTACATATTGTAAAGTTTTTTGATACCTAATGTAAGTTTTCTTTGTGTAATATTTATACGATAAAAGACATTAGGATCCCTATAACATAAATGTCTTGTGCTTCTTCTATTTCGTGACTATGTAAACACTTTACCTGAATTTTTACTATAATCCACAGCTAAGACCATTCCCCTATTCTGTTAATCAAATTGAGTTTTCCTGGAAGGAAAGGCAAAGTAGCTATTCAGTTTAAATTTTTCTAAATCTTTTTACAACACAAAGAAGTAACAGTATAGGAATATTCAACCTCTTTCCACCTTATTCATAACTTAGAGTGGTCACTAAATATTAAGTCTATAAATACTTAACATTAAAGGAGACAGAACTGAGGTTGTCATTTCTCTGTGGCTTTTAATGCCACTGTTCCATCTAAACAAACTAGCAAGTAACGAAGAGAAACTGAAGCTACGGATAAAATTGGTAACGACAGTTCAATCCAGGTAACAGACCCCCCAGAGAAATTTATTTGTGGTCATGATTAGAGTGAACACAGATAGCCACAATTTTCCCTTAATCCCCAGCTAAATTTTTGTTTAACCAAACCAATGAAGAGAGAGGAAAAAATTCAGTCACTCAGATTCCCCTGTGGAATACATTCTAGAACATTTAGATGTGAGTGTATTTATCATTTGGACAGTTCATAATACTTCATACAAAGTAATGAAGTCATATGGACAACCTGGTCCTGAAGGAAAGATTAAACTACCTGCTCACCTCCCCCAATTTTCATCCCTCACTAACCTGTGCTCCTTCCAATCTATAGACAGTATCACTGCTCAGGACATTTTTCTGGTCACAAACTTTTTTTTAGGTTGTCGTGCCTCCTTTTGTCACAAATAAAGGTAATAAAATAAGATGTTTTTTATTTAAAATATTTTCCTTTTTCTGTTTAATGAGGTAAAGTTTCCCTGATCTGCAAAACAAAATTAAGTTAGTTCAAAGAAAACCCTTGTTTCCCTTTTGATGCATGCTTATGAGTAATAGTGTGATTATGTATAGACAGAATACATGCTCTTTATACAGTCCAGAGGAAAGGTCAGTGACAACTTTAATCCAGAAACTCCCAGTAAGATCATGTCTATACGTGCTTGTAGGTACTAGGCTGGACAAAGAAGAAAAAAGGGAAGGGCAATGATGTCGTAAAAAATGGAACCGAGAACCGGGCAAAAAAAAGAATGAAAAGGAGATATCAGTTAGATTTTAGGAAGCAGAAGAGTGCCATTCATCATATTCCATGTTGTATTGCACTCAATTTATAAAACATTTTCACACTATGGCCTTTCACATTAGGCCCCAAATCCCTTTCCTGCTATTCTAGATACTGCTCAGCAAACTGTTCTACAAAAGAAATTTTTACTGAACAAATATCATGAAAATCCCACCTTACAGGAAAAAGTGAAATACTAAGATTCTACATGATTCAGCTTTTCATTCAATCAAGGTTTATAGGAATGTGTACCTAGGAGTGGTTTCAGCTCCAGCATGTTTCCAGGAGCAAGTGCTAAACTCTGATAAGAAATAAGTGACTGTAGTGAATAGCTCAAGCAGCACTCCTATAAAGGTACAAAGAAATCTTAGTGAAAACCTTATGAAACTGATAAACTATTGTTTCTGTCACAGTTACCATAAACCTTTAGTAGCAAAAAATTTGAAGTAGTTGTAAATCCCCCTTATCAGAAACTAATGCTAGGGGGGAAAAAAAGGCAGAAATGTAAAGGTTTTAAATGCAGATTTTTAAACGAATAACTCTAGAAATATTTTACTCAAATAGTTTTTTCTTACATAGTTTTTAAAAATTATTTTCAGAGTTCTTAGCTACTGATAAAGGTATTTTCTTAATTATGGGAAACCTTTTAGCTATCACAAATGAAATTAAGTCTTTTCATTAAACATATACACACAAAAAATAAATTTACAAATAACTAAAAAACTTTATATTTCCTACCTTGAACACATTTCTTCAAAGAGTTAGCTTGAAAAATACATGTCTAAGATTACAGAATATTCAATATTTACTTTTAAGGTTTTAACATTATATTAGATTTTATCACAGAGATTACCAAAACGACAACAAAAAAACCCTGCTAAACATCTAATACCACTTGTCCACTGGTAACAATTCAGCTATCAGTTGAGTTGGTTAGATCACAGAAAGTTGTTATGCAGAGGTACTGACCAGAAGCCTACAATGAGATACAGATTTTACGCTGAGATGGAAAAAATTTGTGACCAGCTCTTTTTCTTTAACTCTCTACACTAAGAGGAAAATGCGTTACTTGGCCTACATCTTAAAGCATCAAAATTGGCCCTCTGTAAGTTTTTAACAAATTGCATTTGTAGTTAGGTCTTTATGAAACAACCTGAGATGATGGCAAGTGTCTCATTCCTCATCTGACCAATGAGGACAAATCTCTCCTTGAGAACTAAGGTCGTTTCAACCCACAGCACCCTAACCTAGTGCCATGATTCAAATTCACAACTCTTGATAGCTAAGACTTTGCTCCAGCTGGCAAACCATATATAGCCATTCCCTAACTTTGTGTTTCCCAAATCTAGCTGTGAATCAGAATTACCAACAGATGCCTTAGCCCTACCATTGATATACTGAAGCTGGAAATTACTGCCTTAATCCTGTGTGATACAGGTCAGCCTGCCTTTTAATATTTGGATGTCTAAAGTGAGAATATAAATCATGAAGAGACCAGTTTATAGGACTATTTCTCACACCATCATGTAAAGTTGGTAGGTGTCTTTGCTCTGTTAAAGTATTTCTGACCTCAATCTTTAACCCTTTGCTTTGTCATACAAGATCATGAAGATTTCAAATCCAATTAGACAATAACTATGTACAGTAAAAAGTAAACTTGGGCTTCAATTAATGAAACTTTAACAGAAACATGGCTAGAGAGGAATCTCCTAAGAGAAAAAAATGATTCACAACGACTGCCTACTAAAAACATAACTGTAAGTGCCTTTCCCTATTTTGTAAAATCGAACGAAAAAACCCACAAAACACATGCACAGCAACACAGGTGAGGTGAGGCAAAAGGGTCTATATTCCTTTCCATTACCAGTGGGGTCATTTAAGTCTCAAACCTGAACAAAATACAGGTAACAATCTAAATTCAATCATGACAATAAAATACTTTCCATTTTCCAAGTTTGATGGTAATAAATATTTACAGTGTAAAAAATAATTTTTGTTCTTTTTTTGTTTTTTAAAAAGACACAACATGCTCAAGGGTACACAGAATATGGAAAAAGTCATCACTTCATTTGAGAGATCAACTGGTAGTAAAAAGCACTGTTCTTACATATTAACCAATTCAAGAATGGTATCACCAGGAAGTCTAACATGGTGTTTACCTCAAAGATGATATTCAAGTATGTTATTTAGAACACTATGTCTAACGTATCTATAAAGAAGCAAGCACTGCTATCTAGTTTTTGTAGTTTTTAGTATCTTCTATATCCACCTCCACCACCGCCACCACCACCACCTCCATATGGATCTCCATAGCCTCTTCCACCATAGCCCCCTCTTCCACCATAGCCCCCTCTTCCACCATAATCTCCCCTGCCTTGGAAACCTCCTCTACCACCTCCTCCTCCACCTCCACCTCCCCATCCTCCTCCCCCTCCCCCACCCCCTCCCCAACCTCCTCCCCCTCCCCAGCCACCTCTTCCTCCCCCACCACCACCACCTCTACCACCACCTCCACCACCACCACCACCCCAACCACCCCTCCCACCACCGCCTTCTTGTCTCTTTTGCCAAGGGGGCATTTCTGGGGGTGGTGGTTCAATTTCATTCGGCCGGCCTCCCCTGTCAGGCACTCTTCCCATCAGCACCTGTATGAGAAACATTTCTTTTAGTTTCTAATATTTTAAAAGTTAAAGTTTACATAAAAGTTTCAAGTGATATTATCGTTTCTAGTAAATAGATGCCAATATTTAAGGACATGATCAGACATGACAGTGCAAATTAATATTAAAAATATTAAGTGCAAAAGGATAAGGAGAAATTTGTTAAAGGATACAAAACCACGGCTAGGTAGGAGGAATAAATGCTAGTGTTCTATACCATTGTATGATGACTGTAGTTAATATTTAGCTTCAAATCACTAGAAGGAGAATATTGAACATTCCCAACACAAAGAGATGACAAATGTTTGAGATGAGGGATATGCAAATTACCCTGCCTGATAACTAAACATTGTATGTATCAAAACATCACTATGTACCTCATACATATGTACAATTATTGTGTTTCAACTAAAAAAATAATTTTACTTCCTGTTTACCAAGTCTGAAGAAAAAAATGAATTTTTAAAAAAAGAAAATATGAAAAAATATGAAATATGTGTGATATATGACAAATTCCTTAGAATATTATTTTTAAATAATCTGAGAGAGTATTTCTGAAACTTAAAGCCTTAATTTTTTCTCTCTTAAATCTGTTTAGCAAATTCTGTAACAAATGTAGTACTCACTTCACTAAGAAATTTTTTTTAGGAAAACATTTTTTATGTATATAACGACATACCTTACATTCATTAACTTAATATCCATTTATACAATAACAACACTGGACTTTCCATTGCCACTGATTTGGTAATTGATTATCCAATAAAAGATTATATTTCTAAGCACATTTCATTTCAAAAACGTATGAAGTATATATGATAACATGGGGCCTTAATGAGGTCAGAGACTGATAGAAAAAGAGAGAAGGATTCTCAATGAACTACTTCTTTTAAAAAACTTAAGCTCATGTACTTTCAGTGATGATACTACTACCATATTACTATAAGGAAAACAGAGTTGATATAATTCATTTACTAAGCTTTACAATCCTTTCAAAAACAAACCAGGAAAGTTAAACTTAGTTTAAGTATCCAACCTTCTGTAGAAAGTAGCAGCTTTATATGGCATGAGCAGAGGAAAGATGGCGATAAGAAAGGTGTCATCTGCTCACCACAGACAAGGGGAAGCCAATAGCTTCCTGCGAGTGTCTTTCGGGAAGGAAAATAAAACAGCAA